GCGAGAAAGAGAGTAAGAGAGATCCACATTGTAACTTAAAGATAGGGCTATAGAGAGCTAGAGAGGGGGGGGGGGTAGTTAAAGAGGTGGGCTAGGGACAGAGAACTAGCGGGAGTGAGGGCTAGAGAGAGCGAACTAGAGAGGACAAGAGCTAGAGAGCGAGCTTAAGAGTGGAGTAGAGAGAGAGAGAGGGGGTGGGGGCTGAGAGCGAGAAAGAGAGATCCACATTGTAACTTAGAGAGACAGGGCTATAGAGAGGGAGATGGGGGGGGGGGTAGCTAGAGAGGCGGGCTAGGGACAGAGAGCTAGCGGGAGCGAAGGCTAGAGAGAGCGAACTAGAGAGGACGAGGGCTATAGTGAGAGGACAAGAGCTAGAGAGCGAGCTTAAGAGTAGAGAGAGAGAGAGATGGGGATTAACGTCCACTTGGTTCAATTTTACTTCAATAATTCGCTTGCGCGTAGGGGTCTTTTATCAGTGGGGAAACCGGAGGACCCGGGGAAAACCCACGAGGTTGGACAGGCGATCATACTCCTTGTCACGTTCAACCGGGGAATCGAAATTACGCCAGTTGTTTCAGTGACAGACCTTATGATACAGCGCGCTCATGCTAACCGTTCGGCCATCCACCCCCACCCCCCACACACACACCCTGAGAAAGATAAGAAACAAGATGGAAAGAGCTAGAGAAAGAGAGAGATGGTGAGAGCTAGAGAGCGTAAGATAGAGAGAGACCTAGAGAGATAGCGACACGGAAAGTGAGAGCTACAGAATGGGCTAGTGAGGGACTTAAGAGAGTTATCGGTAAGGGGGGGAGGGAGCTAGAGGGAGAGAGATAGCTAGAGGGCGAGTGGGGAGGTCAAAAAGCGCTAGAGAGTTGGCTGCCAAGGGATGAGACTTGTCCCTCGAGAAGAGAGAGAGAGAGAGAGAGAAGGGCGGGGGTGGGGCTACAGAGAACAAGCTAAGGGGGGAGTTAGGGAGTTAGCTCGCAAAAGAAAGAGGTGAGGGAGAGCTTGTCCTCGAGGGAGAACAAGCTAGAGAGAAGGGCGAGAGCCAGAGAGTAAGCTTAGACTATTAGAGAGAGATAGAAAGAAAAAGAGAGAATCCATAAGATGAAGAACTAGAGAAAGAGAGCAAGAAGATAGGGAGAGAGGGCTAGAGCGCGTGAGATAGAGACCTAGGAAGATAGCGAGATAGAAGGCGAGAGCTAGAGATGGAGAGATGGGGCGGGGTCTAAAGAGAACTATCGATATGAGGAGAGCAATCTAGTGGGCGAGAGTGAGGGGAGGAGGGGGTGGGGGTAGTGATAGTGATAAGCCTTCGATGTGATGATACTATCAATCTACTGTGAGAAGGTTAGAGAGAGATCGAGAGAGAGAATGAGCTAAAGGCTGAGGGTGGTAGGGAGGGAGCTAGCAAGGGTAGGGAGTAGCGATAGAGAAGGGGGAGCGGGGGGTGGGGCACAGCAAGGGAGAGTGGGGACTAGAGCGAGATAACAAGTGGGCGAGATAGAGAGGTGAAGAGAGTGAGATAGAGAGAAGGTTGTACGATACCGTGAGGCTTGACAGGGAGGGTGTGCGCGAGAGCCAGAGAAAGCTATCAAGATAGCGTGAGGGATAGAGGGAAGAGGGGGCTGGGGTTAGAGAGGGGTATAACATCCACTGAACACAAACTAGGCCATAATTTTACCTTAATAATTTGCTGGCGCGTAGGGGTCTGTATCAATGATAGAAAGTCGGAGAAAACCCAACGAGGTTGAGCAGGCTACCATACTGTTAACCATGCCACTTAACTCAATTACAGACCTTAAGATCCAAAGCGTACCCGTAAGACCAATATAACTTCCACCCCATGGCAAAATCACATAAGGTCGTAAACAGCAATAAGTATGTATCTTTGGTTATAGGTAGAGAGTAGAAAAAGGTCGTAAGTGACTTTTCTGAGTTACCACACCTGATAACTGAAAACTTTATATTGCATTTCTAGCTATTCCCAATCATAACATACTGTACAAACTATTAGAAAAAACAATAAATAAACAATTTTACAGGACCATTTTCAAACCTTTAAACTCGATTTTCTCGAAAAGTGAAAAATGTCACTTACGACCTTTTTCCTCTCAGGGGACGAATTTATCTATACGATTTTTACTTTTTAACTCATGCCCGTATCGTTTGTATTGTATGTCGTGGACAAGGGTCGTCTCGGAGTTATCTACCCACCATACAAATGAGCTAGTCGACAAAAGATCACTAAGTATCTCTATACACTCGTCATAAGTTATCATTTAAGATCTAAATATAAATAAAATGTAAAATACAGTACACCCGCTATGGTAAACTAAAATCATTGAGCTCAAAATATGTAGCAATATTACGACACCGGCCTAATATTGGGTTGAAACTCGTAAACGAAAATTCGATACGTTACTTGCCAATATCGAAAGGAGCCGAGATCTTTTGGAGATAAACCTATATTTCAAGTTTCGTCGAAATTGGATAAGAATTGTGACCTGTAGAGTGTCCACAAAAAAAATTATCGACGGACAGACGGAAGTCGAGGGGCGACGACAATATACGTCCATATGAAAATGTGTGCGTATAAAAACCATTCACGTTCGTAGGAAGACAGCTATGCAGTGGTTTCAGAAGTTAGCCGCTCTCGGAAGAGCCGGTTGAGGGAAGCCAATTTTATTTTTGAGTCCATTACACATATTATGCTTGTTCTTATGTATCTGCAGTATCATAAACTTTCCATTTGAGAAGAATAGTGTTCCTTAGTACTTAATCATAATGGAGTTATTTGAAGTCCTATTGAGTCCAAATACATGTATAGAGCGAAGCAAAGATAGCACACGTGACGAAGGACATTATGACGGGGGATTTGAGTCAAAAGTCAGTGCTATGTTGTTAGTGCTATCACATGTCCAATGTTGCAAATGTTGAATGTAATGTGTAAATTGGACTAAGTCAAAAGTAAATAATCCTGTAATACTGACAAATACATCGTGTAAAATGACATCTACTTTTTGTCATTAAACATTTCACAAGCCGAAGTCCATCTACCCAGAACTTTAAACACTGACTGTATCTTTTTGGTGCTGTCATCTTTTGCATTATAATGCTATCCTGTTTATAAATTATATATAATACCCATCCATGGGCCATTGTTCATTCTTCTCCTTTTATTTGTTGAGCTATTATATTTTAAATTATGTATACTTCTCATGAAGGGCAGGGTGGTTGTCGTGGCAACTTTCTATGTCCACATTGCTCATGGACTGTCGCACACGTTCACACAAAACCCTGGCGACTTCAGAGTAAAATTCTTCGTAGGAAAGTCTATGAATTCTACGAACAATCTCTTGTGTTATATGTGGAAGCCGAGATATTTTATTTTTCTTTCTTCATTTAGGAAATCAACACCCGGTTGCAGGTCTCATGCCGGGGGAAATTATGTTTTCTTCACCCGAGATGTCACGTGATTAAAAATAGGTACCGTCTGAACTTATTTGCATACTGGCTAATTTCATGTCGTGAGTTCTGTGTTACGATGTAAAAGTGAAATGTTGAACGGTACAATACATAGTGCGCGTGTCATATGAGAAGATGTGAGAGTTCAGTGTTTAAATATCTGGGTAGATGGAGTTAGGCGTGTTGTGGAAATTTTGAAATGTCTAATGTGAAATGTTTAATGACAAAACGTAGATGTCAATTTACACGATGTATTTGTCAGTATTACAATATTTTGTTAAATTTAACGTCCTCCAATTTACACATTACATTCAACATTTGCAACATTGTAGATGTAAAAGCACTAACAACATATCACTGACTTTTGACTCAAATCCCCCGTCATAGGACATAGCTACCTATTCTTTTCGGAGGAGTTTAGCAGACAGTGTAACACACGATTGTGTTACAAGTAACGACTACACCCTTTCTGACTGTATGATATTGGGTGTTTCTGTGGTCTTCTATTACACGTCTCCTTTAAAGACAAAGATAAACTGACAACTGAACAACAAATTATTTGTTATTCAGTATTCAGATGTGTATGTGCAAACCTTTATTTATACAAACACAATTCAGTTTAACTCTTTTAATAGAAATTAAGGTAACATTCATTTTAATATAGAAATCGAACAATATGAATATAAAGATACAAAATGATTGGCAAAACTATAAACTCTAATATATATTGTCAATAAAGATATCTTTAGGTTAAATTCGATGCTAGCTCTGTTTCTTCGAGTAATATATGAACTTAAAAAAAAACCCAAACAAACTTGGATAATCAATACACATGTACATTTGGGCTTTTTCAAAACAGTCTTATTAATAGGCCGACAGGTATGATGAACTATCTTCTTTTTTTACCTGAAAATATGGTTTGACTATTTGAAAACAAGTAATGCAGCATCGACTTGATATAGATGTACAGCAAGGAATTTCATTTATATAGGTAGAAACTTGATTTTGTCCCATTTATAAAAATAGTATTGGTTACAAATTGTAAACCATAAATTTGAACTAATCACTGCCTATCTAATATGCCAAACTATATTCTTCAATGGGAGACCAGATGCAATAATAGACCTCATTACTTGAAACTAAATAAGCATTATGAATACACACGGCATTATGCATAATATGAATTATGAATACACTAGGTATCAGGCACGCACAAGGCATTAGGCTATGCATACACGAGACGTTATGCATACACTAAACATTACGAATACAATAGGCATTATGCATATACTAGGCATTATGCATACACTAGGAATTATGCCAGCAAAATAATAAACGTAAAGGATATTTAAAATTAACAAACTAAACAAAATAACAAACGCCATATCCAATTAATGATCACAAAGAACACTTATTTGAGTGGATAACCCAAATCAAAAGGATAGCATGCCAGGCAAAGAAACATACGCCCACGGCAGCTAAATCGTCCGTGCGGTCGACAAGGGTTGTCGCATATTTATTGTTTTGTGGGTAATCGGGGGCATTTACAAGACAATTTCATACAGACCAGATTATAATTTTGTCATTTGAAGGTTCACAAGGTTCTACAAACTGAAACAAGGACCCTAACTGTGGAATTCTAATGATTTTCCTATAGAACTTAAACACTGTGCATCAACTGACAGTTTTATAAGGAATCTTAAAACCCATCTTTGTAGAAATGGTCTCTTTTAACAGTTGATCGCGTACTCCTTTTAACTAGTGTTTTTCTTTTAACTGACCATAATGTTACCAAAGAGCAGCTTCGGTTGGATTTTAGGACATTATTATTTATTATTATTATTAACTCTATAAGTAATTTACATAAATTGTCGAAATTCGACAGGCTTTTTCGTCTTACTAATTTGAACGATGCATATAAATTTCATACAGATCAGATGATAACTTCTGTCAGAGCGGGCCATAACTTTAGACGTAATTAACGGAAATGGCTGAAATTCAATAGCCTTCTTCGTTTCACTAATCTAAAGTGGTGGACACATTAGCCGAATCATTCGGTCGAATTAATCGGCGCCGAATTTTATTCGGCCAAATGGGTGGACACACTAGGCGAATACTTCACATGATTCACCAGTCGATTGCATCACCTTTCACGTCACATGATTAATCATGGCGGCGACCACGTCTTCAAACAATCACGTGACTTCTTGATATGAATGGATGATGAGTGGTGATTGGCTAATGAATTCTATGTTCGGGCGAATGCTTCGGCGAAGCGGACACACTAGACGAATATAATTCGGCCGAATATATCAAACTAGGCGAATTTCGACGCCGATTGATTCGGCTAGTATGTTCACCGCTTTAATGATGCAGATAAATTTCATACAGACCGGGTGATAACTTTTGTCGTTAGAGCGTTCACAAGGTTCAACAAAATGAAACCTGGACCATAACTCCAGAAGAAATTAACGGAAATCAAATAGGATTCCTCATCTCACTGATGTAAACAACATATATATCAAAACAATAAGATGATAAATGTAGTCTGTAGAGTGTTCCCAAGAAATTGTGGACGACGGTCGTACAGATGGGGGCGACGGCAATATAAGAACACATTTCCACAAGGGTGTATAAAAAGAATTATGCGATAATAAAGCTTTATTGACATAGGAAAAAAAACAACCCGAGATTGAATGAAGATCTAACAGTAGTCATCTGCAGTCAAGTTCTTTCTTTTAATAATAATATTGTATTATGTTTAATCTTTAGATTCGGAAAACTGTCTACATTTGACCTTTAAAGGTACATGTATCATTGCAATATCCTTAATAACATTAACTGTATTTCGCAGATTGTGTCCTATATAGTATTCCACTTTTATTAGCTTACCACTGAAACCATGTTTCAAGAACATGTAATATGTAGTGTAGTAGTTTAAATATTGTTGTACAAGAAAAGGTTCATACATGGACATTGTAATCAATAAATATGTCATAAAACAGTTTAGAAGTTTGATTTTTCAAACAGGCATTAAAGATACATTGGTTTTAATTGAACAAGTACCTTACTGTATACATCTACTTGCCTTATGTACACCCAAACGGTCATTCCGTTCCATCCCTCCCTCCATTACAACAAACATTAATAATTTCATGTAATTATAATCTAACCAAAAACAAACAGATGTACCTGAACATATATCCATTCAAGAACCCACCAGCTATTTGGCACTGTATGTCTTATACTCATTTACCATAAATACTTTACTACATACTTTGGGTTGCTTATATTTTTAGCTGATTACTATGTACATGTAGAAATTAACATGTATTCATAATCCAATAATAATCATTGATATCTTTGACAATTTGGCTGATATGATTAAAATTGGGACTAGATCAAATTCAGTCAACTGAAGCTATCAGCTACATGAATTAAGGTCAATTTGTAAATATATTGTACATTTCTTATACCAACATGTACATATGGACAACTTTAATTTAAGTAACTATTTTAAATCTTATCTACCTACACTAAATAATCTATAACAAATCTGGGAATAACTAATTTGGATTTGTCTATCATAAGCAGATTAACATTATGCAGTTTCATTTACAATGTACATTGTAACTGGATTATTTTAACTTTTTAAAATCTTACTACAGTACCTATATATTTCTGTGTATATACATGTACATGTATAATCTGGGAAGAAAAAAAACAGATGTTTTGTTATTCCCAGAGGTAATGAAGTCTTAATCTTGAATTGTCTCTGATAAGCAGGTCAACATTATGCAGTTTTGTTCTGTTGCTTGGGATAACTCTGGAGCTAGTTGCTGAATATGTTGAAAGAACTGCTGAGCATCTAGTGGCAGGCTTGCCAGTCCACTTCTATCAATTTCTGTAAAAACTTCAGTATTGTACCTTTGATGCAATGGTTCGTAAAGTACTCCTTAAATAAATAAATACATGTATATATATATAATTGTTATATATGTAGTAATTGGAATTATTTGTCTTTTTAGTACATCTGCTGTAATGAAATGATCTGTGTTGCAGTTGACTATCTTCAAATATTAGAAATGCAACAGAACTAATGGTAACTTCAAACAGCTTTGTACATCTACAGTCAAGTCTATAGAATGTTGTCAACATGCAGGCTACTGAGTGCTCCACGACAGATAACTGGTATACATTGAAACAATTAGTACAAGTAATTGTAAACCAAATTTTTGTGATATTTATATAACTAATTGGTGTACACCTGGCTACATTTACCTGAGCCTATTTTAAAACTACGGTATCAAGAGGCTGCACACTATTCACAACTTTTGCCAAAACAAATCAATAAAAATACAATGTACAGAAAACAGGGGCAAAATTTTATTGTATAACTGTTTCAGTGGGTCTCTCTGTGACCCATAATGTCAATGTCAGGATAGGTTAATATACACAATATCTTGACCACTAAAACTTCAATAAAGTCAATACTGGCTTTTTCAGTACTGGCAACTGGTACTGCAAATCTCACCAAACAAAACTGAACAATACATATACATGTACTGATGCTGCTATACAAAATTCTCATAATAATGTGTAAACCCTAGTATTTTTATCCTTTTGAGCTTATACAACAATAACATTCTCAAATATTCTGTAGATAACAAAATATTTGATAATCAAAATTTTGTAATTTTTGTTTTCACTTCTCTTTTATGCCAATATCATATACATTGATTTATACTGTACATTACATGTATATGTGAAGCTTTGTGTAAGATGTGTGACATGTCTATCAACACTAGCACCATATAAACATAAATTTAAAGTTTCATCAAAATAGGATCAAAATTGTGGCTTCTAAAGGGTTCACAACCTGGATATACCATATGTTTACACTATTTCACGAAATTATAACTCAACCGACATTACGTTGTAATGGTGATATATTTAAACATTTTTTTTTAATCGGATAAAAATTGTGACCTGTAGAGGGACCACAAGCTAAAAATGTAGAAAAAAAATCTTACTTTTCCTGCATGCAAGGTAACTTTTTACCACATAAAACACAAGTAAACTCAGCTCTTCAACACACTCAGTAGAATATTGATTTAAACCATTAAAATCTCCATCATCTGAGGGAGACTGGGGTGGTGTACAAATAGGACTTCTTGGAGGATAGGCACTAAAATAAGATTGTTTCAGTCTATGAAATGAAACTGGAAAATCAGTAGAAGATAATATAGTACCATCACAATAGTCTTCCATTACCCTCTGTGTGAGTTTTAACATCAATAAATCAGAAGATATAAAATGAAGTAGCATCTTCTTGCGTTTGATATCCGATAAATATATGTAAATCTTCTCTAATTCACCAGCCACACGTTTGGCAGCTTCCACACAACTTCGACTTATTTCTACACCAAGATTTAACAATCTGTTTAAATCTGGAAGGAGTTTATATGGAGAATCAAATTGTAACAATTGTTTCTCTCCTAATTCATTATTTGGCAAGGGAAATATATTCATCTGCAAGAATCCATCTCCTCTTATTTCCGTAGAATTGATACAAAACTCAATCCACTTCACAATTTCTTTTAAATTTCTGAAAGCAGCATCAACAGACAGAAGTTTAAACACCAAAGTTTTTAACAATTTATCACGGTTTTTCAAGCTGTTCTTGTACAAGTTCACTTCCAATCCAAAAACATACAAATGAAGTAATAAACCACCATGTAAATTTGTATAAGATGATGAATTCTTTCTGTATGTAACTCCAGCAATAACATCACTAAGCAAATCCCATTTAATGTTGATCAAATCTGGGTATGTCTGCCAAACAAAACGTAATAAATTGTATGATTTTACACAAATTTCATCACCATGGTTACCAAGCAAGCCCTTTTCAAGCAAAATGTCTTCCACTACTGAAATTGTTGGCTTTTTTTGCCTCACAAAGCTCTTTAGCATATTAAGACTGTAATCAAAGAATGTATCTCCTTCTTCCATAGCTGCATCTAAGTTATTTAAATGCATAGCACTAAATGAATCTATAATGTTATTATCAATTGATGAAGGTGGAAATGTTATTTTACAAAAACTTCCTACATGTTGGCTTCTCCTACTGGTTTGAGGAATTATGTTATCACAGGGTTTCGAACTAGGGGTCTTAACGGACACTTTTCTTAAAAAAGTCATAGTTTTAGCACCAATCTCAACAGACTCATCAAATGGAAAATTTTCAGTTACCATGTCTCTATTTACAATATCCAAATGACTTTCAACCCATTTCGATGTATTCTTTTCAATGTCATCTGTATTGACACCGTTCGACCGCAGGGATTCAAAAGAACTTTCGTATGTTTTATTGCTCAGATGTTGATACCTGAGATCCTTCTTGTAACAAGATTCTCTGGTGTATTGTACAAAATAATCCGGCGATGATATATTTCCATCCAAATAAGGAGGGACTGATGCCAAAGAAACTGATGCATCAGACTGATCACTTTCATTGGGTAATTTACCTTTACTGTTTAAGCAATCTAAAATATCCATAAAATGTCTACTGTCCGAATTTTGACTTCTAGTTGGGCTTGATCCATCTGTTGGGCAGTTTTCCTTACTTATCTTTTCTTTGAATGATACTGTTGATAAAAGTTTTGCCAACTTGTTTTTGTGTTCTGGTGTAAAAAGTAATCCGGATGTACATTCTTTTACAGATAAACCTTTATTTGTTGATAATTTGATTTTTTTCATAGGACTATCACTACTTGCATGAGATTCTTTAACCTTTTCCAAGCCCTTATTAGAACTTGCTTTCAACATTTTCAAATGATCTATATTTACACCATCAAGGTCAGGTAAATCATCAGAGAATTCCTCTTCAGAAAAAGAATCTTTCCTTAGTTCTGTACATGTTAAAGCAGTCATTTTATTTTCCAAACACTTACTTGTATTGGCCTTTTCGAATTTAATATGAGACCAACTTTTTCCAGAACAATTCAGTTTTGTTAACAATTTTCTTCTTGAAAGTCCAGACGATTTTAGTGATCGAATCTCATTTTTTAATGTTGGTTCTGAGGATATCTTACTTTTATGTGCTGAAAAGAGGTTACTGTAATTCTTACCCTGAGAAATATTACTCAAATGCTTTTTTTTAACTGGATCCAAATTTTCATTTTTTATATGAATCTTGTTCCTATATGGATGAAACTTTTGTGGTGAACTTATCTTTTTGGCTTTGTATTTTGTTTCAAAAGACTTAAATGCAGGGTTCTTCTTGATCATATAGTCTTTAACTTTGAAACTGGAGGATTCCGGTCTCATTGATTTGTCACAACTATTACGAAATTGTTTTGGAGATGTGGACTTTGGTTTAAAAGGTTTTCTTTTGTTTGTTGAAATAATACACTTCCCTGAATTTTTTGAAGTTTCAGAAGTCATTTTGATTTTAGTATCACAATCTACATGTAAATTACAATTAATACTTGTGTTTTGAACAGAATTTTGTAAACTGGTCACTATGCCATTCCTACTGGGTTCCTCATCAATTGTCTTTGGTAGGTAATGCGGCTGAAAAAGAAAAGAAAATAATTGTAAAGTTTTACAATATCCATTATAAAAATAAATCTGAACTCTAAGAATTTTGTCTAAAATATTTTGAAAGATTCCAGAGGCATCTCAGATATATTTTATGGGAACACACCTAGAAATTATGCAGTGTTGAATTTTCACTTTCAAACAAGGAAAATAACTATTTCTTCCCATTTCAGTGCCTGATCTCTATACTTCATCCTATTTATATTAAAGATGCATTATGCAAGATTTATATAAAGAGCTAGCTGTCTTGTTGTGATAGTTCAAAAAAAGATGATGAAATATGAATACATTGAAAATTTCAGTCTTGATCTCTTATATGTAGGACAATCTTGTGGATGTTCTCGAGCTTAAAGTTATCATTCTATTAAAGATACATTATGGGAGATTAGATAAAGAGCTGGTAGTTATCACTATAATAGTTCAAAACTAGATAATATAAAGGGAATTTGCTGAAAACTGATCTACCCTGAACCAAGTATTTAGCGATTGAATTTTGAGTCTAGCCTCTATCATCATTACTAAAGTCGGTTGATAAAAAACATAGTCTCTATTATCCATTTTTTTATTTAATCAGAAGCAGCAGACCGGGTTCTAATCCAGTAAATATCAAGGTCTGGATATGTTAATAATTTAGATAACATTTCAGGCCTAAAGAAAGACCTGCAATTGGCAGATTTAGCTCTTGCATAATGTATGTTTAACTTGTAATCATAGGCGTACAGGCTGGATGATTGTTAAGGAGGGCAGAACTTGAAATGCCCAAAAAAATTTGGGTTAGTCCCCACCCCAACCCTCTAAAAAGAAAATTGGTAAAATTCGAAGACCGCAAGCGCATTTTCCTGCTATTCTAGCCCGTGAATACAGCAACTTCAGCAACTAATAAGCCTAATCAACCAATCAATCGCTTACAGTTCACAGAAATGGGACCGTTGGGAAAAAATTTTGAACATTGCGGCAAATGGGTTTTTCTGCTATTCCAGCCGTTGAATACAGCAACTTCAATGTGGTCCAATATAGCCTACCTTAGGTGGCCGAAACAAATCCCAAACAAACTTTTGAAAATTCTAGCCTGTGCATTAAGCAACTACAAAGTTGTCCAATGGTTTTGTAACCGAAATCCCACTCAATGCTGACATGAATTGAAACCATTCAATCAGACTTTTACAGCTGCATTCCCAAATAATAATCGATGCCTGAAAATGGTGCACAAAGTAGAGTGACTCCAGACAAAATTCAGTACAAATTTGCGGGATTCAATTAAAAGAAAAGTAAAATTGGTGTTTTAATAGATTTAGGGCACTTTATTTTGCCAACTACATGAAATAATTTTTTGTTTTCACTTGACCCGTCTGTCCAAAAAGTCAGATTGCCCGAAAGTTAGGGGCAGCTGCACCCCCTCGCCCCTCTGACCCGTACACATATGGTTGTAATCCATACCTAGATTTTACGTTCATGAGATAAAAAAAAGCCTGTTTAAGCTGAGCTTATGTCACCCTTGTGATCTTTTTGCGACTTTGTGTGATTGGGGTTGATGCAACTACAATGTATGAGAAAATGTTAATCTTTGAACTCAGTCAAGACATTCTCCTAATGAACATCTACACCCAAGTTTAAACATTCTACCGCAATTAAAAGCTGATGAGTTGTTATGTTCCAAGTCTTGACCAATTAAATTGTTTATTGCTAAAGGCGGGAGAAAATAAGCCCATAAACATTACCACTACCTCAAAAGGGATGACTTTAGCCAAGCAATTGTGGACGACCGACGGACAGATACAGAAACTCTGAAGACATCATAACGATTAAGTTCGAATGGAAAATGTTGCTACAACAACAACTCTAACATCTATCAGAAATCACTGAAAATCTAAGGTTCCTTAATCTTTTAACCCACCAATGTTAAATAAATGCAGTTTCTAGAAAAATGAGTGATCATGCGAAATTTTAATTTATACCAGAGGCAAGTGTTTTATCTTACTGGTCTATACCAATAATTTGCTGAAGTGAAACAGAGTTTTACATCCAGTTATCACAATGTAGACTGATTGCATCAGACTGATTAAATCCAAGCCCTGCCATTGTTGTCAATATATTTAACCAACTGAAAACTATAGACCACGTGTAGAGTGTGAAACTGAATCATGGATCATGTGATTTGGTTGATGTGATAAATCAATCATTTTTCTGAGATAATAGATTTCAATAAAACAGTATTTCCTACCCTAGAAAATACACAAATACTAAAAGCTTACCTTGACAAAACCATTTTTAAAATACACGTATCTGATCAAATACTATAAGCTAGCTTATATACTAAATAACGTCAATGAGCTACATCTAATAACCTCTGGCCACATGAACACAATTCTTAGCAATAAACAAATGACAACAAACTAAACAGCCAATAGATTTCCCACACATCATTGCCTGCTAAAAATCAATATGATTTTTATCATCAAGTTATTGTGGATGTACATGTACATACTAAGGTGCTATGAATCATATTTTATTATAAAAAAAAACAAACAATACACCACACTTCTTTTTAACATGAATATGTAAATATTTGAAGCATGAATATGTAAATATTTGAAGCCATCAATTTAGTTGGTAAATGAACTGTGTTACATTTTCTACAAATTAAAATTGTTTGGTTCAAGTATCAAGGATTAGTTTACAGTATTGATTGAGACAGAAAGGGGAGTAATAAATCCTGATTTATGAAATTTATTACTGTATCATATTTTATTCTAAATTAAGAGCATTTGAAACAAATATAATAAAGTTTCAAATTTATGATTATTATTATCATCCAGACATATAGACATGTGAGTCTATACATATATGTAGATGAAAATTATCCATTAGCTTCCTGACTTCTATTGAACAAAAACTCCATACATGTAACTATAATCAATACTGTCAATCATAGAAATACTGGTAAGAAAAGATACATTTCACATACATGTACTTATCGCATGTTCCCATCTGCATACTACTCCTTGGAAAATGAAACAATCTATGAGTATACTATATCACAATTTTGTTATAAACAGCACTATCTTTACAGTTAATGCACATGCCTCAACAGGACTTTTTAGATATTATACAATCAAGCTGTATTGCCTTTAGAAAGTATTCACTTAACTGCATAATGATAGCAGTACATTCTAACCACTGTCTCAGGAAAAAGCCTTTCTTATTGTATAAAATTGTCGGCCATAATAGTCTAATCGAGTTGTATTTCCTGCCTTATGCAAACCAACATGTGCGTACACATATAATGAAACGACAAGGATGTAATTTCCCAATAGAAAATATCAAACAAGCTCAAAAATAATTCTAAACGATAGAAAAGAAACTATCGACATCTCCTTAAGTATGTATATTTTCAGACATTTTATTAATTTTTAAGGATTCAAATGTAAGGTATCAAATACTACAATTAATCCATAAATGATCTATGGCTATTGAACAGTCATTGTTAAACATGTAGGATTCATAATCATTAATTAAAGATACATTATGGGAGATTAGATAACGAGTTGGTAGTTCTCGCTATAATAGTTAAAAACTAGATAATGTAAAGGTAATTTGTTGAAAATTTCAGTCAAATTGATCCACTATGAACCGAGATATCAGCTTTGTAAATTTCCACCTAGCCTCGTTCATCATTACTAAAGTTAGTACGTTAAAAAGCATAGTCTTGATTATCCATTGTTTTGATTTAATTATCAATGAGCGTTTGCAGCATATAGGATTCTAATCCAGTCGATATCGAAGGCTAGTCTTGACATCAAGAGTTGATTATGGTCTGGATAAGTTAATTAATGTCTAATTAATAATTTAGATAAGATTTCAGGCCTAAAGAAAGACCTGCGATAGGCAGATTTAGCTCTTGCATAATGCATGTTTAAGTTACAATGCTGAATTGTTAATGATACATGTATAATATATCTTATAATCAAATGCTGTTAATACATAAAGCCATTTGACTATTATTAGATTACTATGCTATCGATGTTATATAAATCACTGTATGTTAAATGTTACTTGAAATTACTAGATTATTATGGATGTATTTTGTATTAGTTTTAGTTGTTAGATTATTATGGATGTATTATGCTTCACATCGAATTTGAAAAAAAAAAAATGTTAACAATATACGTCCATATGAAAATGTGGGTGTGTAAAAATTGTAGCCTTTATCGCATTCACAATTTACATGGTTTTCGGAAAAGTGTTACAGCTCCAAACGGAGAGGTCCCAGGATGCTCAGTATTAATAGGGTCCATCCCCTGAAGACCCCAATGCTCCATTCATCCCCGACTGTTGTGTAACAAACATATATTGGAACGGTATTTAAAATCTAATAAAAATTGTGACCCGAAGCGGGCCCACAAAGGCAAAAAATCGTGCTTGTGGCTTTGCTTCGTTACGAGTCAGCAGCTCGAAGGCCAGAAATCAAGGTGAAGCTCTTGGCTTAGCATTGATTATTTCTTGCATTTTTGCCCTCGAGCATAGGTTGGAGTGACTGTGTTTGAAGCAACAAATCTATTTCCGGCTCTAGTGATAGAGTCAGTAGAGAGGCTTTATCCATATTTTCTATTTCAGGTTGTTTTAAGTGTTTGAATTTTCTTTTATTTGATTGAATAGTGGTAGGATATAAATCATCTGAAAAGTCATCTTTGTTCGAATTAGTGGTAATCAAGCTTGTCACTTCTGATGCTTGTAAGGCGTGGGGCGAATTATTAGCGCATGCATGTTGTATCATAAGGTCTGTCATTGAGTCTTAAACTGGCGTGATTAGGAGTGGGGTGGCCTTCCAACCTCATGGGTTTTTTCCTGGTCCTCTGGTTTCCTCCCACTGCTAAAGACCCCTACGCGCAAGCGAATTATTGAAATACAATTGAACCATTAGTCCTGAAAGGACCTGGTTGTGTTGAGTGGACGTTAAACCCCATTTCTCTCTC